CACCCAATCCTTTGAATTCTTGACATTTTTTTCAGACCCATAAACAAATTTCTTAGGAATACACTTTTTCCTTTTGACTGATGAACTTACTTTTTTGTGAAGGCTTAGATGTGAATGTGTGAACCATGTGAGCTTACCAAAGAAATTCTGATGTGACCTTTTGTCTCTAAGAGAGAGTAATATTGTCTTTAGCTATGATGCTTGATTGGCAGAAAACACTCATTTTATTATGAAAACACAGAAGACACTTTTGTTTCTGCTGCTAAACACCTTATTAACATTTTATATGAGTAGAATGTTAAGATATTTGTTTGTATAACATTATATAAGGAGTGTCTTAATACAGCTTTGGCCATATTAAAAATGCCTTATGTGCCATGTTGCTCAGATGGCATGTTTACGAATAAGTTTTTAAAGCTCCATATGTACAAATATGAAATATGAAATCTTCCTCCAAATGCTAAGAATACAGCTCATTCTACATTTGCTGGTTTATAGTGTTAACATTTATCTGCATCTCCATATTCCAAGATTTGCAAATGAGATAATTCTGTTGCAGTATGCCGCCAAGTATAAACAGCTGGCTCTCTTTGGCAAGCAGAATATCATCTGAACATTTAATGTAGCCCTTCCTCTAGTATGCCTTTTATCATCAGAATTTAGGGAGGGACAATTGTTCAGCATGTTTCTTTTTTTCTTTTTTTTAAAGATTTATTTATTTGACAGAGAGAGATAGAGAAGGAACACAAGCAGGGGGAGTGGGAGAGGGATAAGCAGGTTTCCTGCAGCGCAGGGAGCCCCAATGTGGGGCTCGATCCCAGGACCCTGGGATCATGACCTGAGCCGAAGACAGACGCTTAACGACTGAGCCACCCAGGCGCCCCTGTTCAGCATGATTCAAATGTACTCTTCTCTAAAGTCTTACAGCCCATGGATTCTCTTAACTGTAACAATAAGAGACCGGCTAGGACAAGATATTAATATTAAGCATTGGGAATGAAATCTTGTGAACCTATCAGAGGGACATTCAGGGGAATGAAATTTTAAATAGGCAGTTTTATATAGTGATACTATCTTAAATTATTCCCAAATGGAATGAAATTCAGTCAGTGGGGTTTTGAGAAGCCACAGTATATCCAAAAAGATACTAGGGGTAAAAAAGAGTTTTACCATCAACATGATGTAAAATATAAATAAAATAACCAAATATTTCCCTCTGACTCTGAACAACCCATACATGGAGCATATCATTGTCATTCTTCCACAAGTGGAAACGACATTCATTGACTTACATCTCTAAAGTTACAAATAACAATACAACAAATAAGAAATCAGGAGTAATTTGGGAAGGAAATTATATGAATAAATTTAAGAATAAGAAGTGAGTGTTGATTACCTCTCATTATACCCTCTAGATGGGATATAATACTTGACTTCAGGCTTTGCTTGTCTTTTTGTTCTTCTAAGGTCGAGGTCAGCGCTGACCAATAGAACTTTCCGTAATGATGGAAATGGCCTATATTTTTGTTACCCAATGTGGTGGCCACTGGCCATTTGTGGCTACTAAGCATATGAAATGTAGCTAGTACAACTGAAGAAATACGTACAATTTTTTTATTTAATTTAAATGAATGAAGACAAATAGCTACTGGCTATCACATTGGACGTGCATGTCTAGGCCATGGGAAAGATCTTTCTCTCTTTAACTATAAGGCATAGAAGTCATTCAGATCTGGTCCTACTGACACTGTAGCCCATACTTCATAGAAAGACTGCAAGTTGCACAAAGTTGCACAAATATACACTGATGTTCCCGACTTCACTGTATGTTATCTCAGGATGGGTGACAAACTGTGTTGGGTGACTCCAGAGAACTACTTTTCATTCTAAAAGCTCATTTGGAATATTGGGAGCCTAGATGAGGAGAATCTATTAGCTACCCAAATGAGCAATAATCATTATCTTAACTGAAAATCAAGTGTTTCACAGGGAAGATATGGAGAGAGGAAAGAAACCTGCTGTTGCTATTATAGGGTATTACTTTACGATGTTTCAAAATGTTTATTTTTCTTTTTTTTTAGATAGAGATTTTATTTATTTATTTGTCAGGGAGAGAAAGAGAGAGAGAGAGAAAGCATGAGCAGGCAGAGTGGCAGGCAGAGAGAGAAACAGGCTCCCCACTGAGCAAGGAGCCTGACATGGGACTTGATCCCAGGACCCTGGGATCATGACCTGAATCAAAGGCAGAAGCTTAACTGACTGAGCCACCCAGGAGCCTCTTAAAATGTTTATTTTTCTATTGACAATTATGAATTATTTATCTTACTGCAGAGATACTAATTTTCAGTCTTCTACATTTATTTTAACACTAAAGGGTAAGCCTACATGCAAAGTAGTTTTTATTTATTATGTTAATAGTTCTTTCCATTTCAAAACAACTTAAATGGAAATTACCTCTCTCAAATATGTATGTTAAGCAAACAGAACAAATCAAGAAACAGCAAAAACAACAACAACAACAAAAACTGTACAAGGGAGATGATTCATGATTCTTATGAATCATAATTGCTAACATGTATTTGAGATATCTATCACTAATAGAACTAATTTAAGCTAAAACTAACATTTACTGTGCATGTACTATATGCCTGACACTGTAAGTGCTTCTTATGGATCATATCCTTTAACAAATCTACAAAATGAGTGTTACCATTATTTCCCAGTAAGTATATCGTTTCTTCCAGCATCTTGCTGAGACCTAGATATATTAATCAATGTTCCTAAATCTATATAGCCAGTAAGTGAAGTGGCCAGCATCTGGACCCAGATTTGCACAAATCCATTTTTAACCAGTTAATTGAAAATGTCAGAGGATCTAAAATGAAATGATTTCATCTGGTGTCATAGATTGTTGGAATAAAAATTTTCTGTAATCAAAGAATGACTTTTCCCAAGAAAACATTGACAACAGAAAGCCTGAATTCAACTACGTATACATTTATACATATTAGAGATTTTAATGTTAAGATATAAGTGATACTATGTTTATGTGTATAATTTGAGCATAACACACCAAATCCATGACAGTGAAATCAATTATATTGCTGCAATAGTGACACTAGAAAATCTGAAGGGAACAAGTGAGCATTTGGGCTGCTGCTGTAATTTAAGGTTCTGATTTGCCTCAGAGAGCTGGAGGGCACTGAGTGTCCACTTGCCAACTTGGCCAGGTGCATGACTACATCTCTGAAATCAATGCAGAACTACTTCCAGAGGAATTGAAAAAATGTTTCTTCTATTCCTTTTGACAAGAAGTCATTACCAGTAGCCTTTGGGGGAGAGTTGCAGAAGCTTCATGAAAACTACAAGGCCATTATTTACTTTTGATACTCCAAGCCTAGGTCTAAAAGAACAGTTAACAAGACCTTTTGCTCATAGTAAGCTCATTGTAACTCTCAGCAATTTTAAAAACACAGAATTGAGCTCAGAACATGGGTTTTATTGCAGACGTTCTTGTTTTTCATCCATTTGGGGTCTTTATTCTGCTGGTAACACTGGCCTTAGTATAATATATATATATATAATATTATCACTATAATGTCTTCTTTTATACTTTAATATTACTCTAGGGAGGGTTCACTGCTGGTTATTTCATGATCAGAAGATAAAATAAGAAGGAATTTTGGCATTATATATTTGAAACAGGATTAAGGAGAAGAATGTAGATTCAACTCCTTTCCTACATTTAAATGACACATTTAAAAAAAATAACTTTTCTTTCTGATAAAGAGAGGCAAATGACACTGTGTTATTGGTATATTGAAAATTCCTTTAGAGTTTGATTCAGTTTCCATGGGTTCTGGTTTTAGTCCTCAGTTTGGTCTGCTACCTGTTAGCTGAATCATTTTGGGTAAATTACTTAATATCTATGAGTATGTTTACTTTTCTGTAAGTAGAGATACTATACTCTCTTTGTGGAAAAGATCAAATAAAACATTAAATTTAAAAGTAAAGTGTAAAAACAGAAACATAAAAGAGTGTAATTTTATGATTTAATGATACAGGAGTAGTGTTTAAATTTAAGAAAGAAATACTTACATTTAGTGTTTTTTGTGTTAAAATTTTATTTTTGTAGTCTTTCTGACCAGTGAGCCTGTGAACATGCCTATATGTCTAACTTCTTCAATTCTGAAAGCATTTACTGCAGAAATTCAGAGAGGGATGAGTTATTTAACATGATGTGGATTTATTTAAACAGTCGAATGAACACAAAATTGAATTTTGTGACAAATTCAACCTAAAATCTGTTCACATACCCAGATTATTTTACATAAGTATAATTTTGGTGGTATAAGATGTCATTGGTGATTTTATCCATGATCTTTATCTAAAGGATTAGCAAGGGAGAAGTTTACTAACATCAGTAGGGTTACATCAATATTTATTTAATTTCTCCTTATTGGTTTATATACTTTCAGAATCAGGATCTAATCAGATCAATGTCCCATACAAGATGTTCAGAGTATCTTTAGCATTACAAGTGGAAATGTGGATGTTCTCAAAAGGCTGTAAAGGAGCTGAAGAAACTTCCATCTGCTTCTGTGTATGAACATAAATCACAAATCTGAAAGTAGCTTGATATAATAGCATGGGACATTATAGAAAATGTAGGTGGTAGATGTGTGATTGTAAGTTCCAATCCACCCCCCTTCCTCCAAGAATTTAGAAATAGGAAAACTCAAATTGAATAAGAGCAGAGGCAGATGGTTCTCATATTAGAAATTGTCTTGACTGAATGGGTTAATCAAAGAGGAAAGAAGTGCCAAAATAAATTCCAGAGAGGAAAGAGAGGGAGAGGGAGAGAGGGCGGTAGAGGGGAACTCCAAGTTGTTAATGAGTCATTCTATCTGCTTGTAGAGTTAGAAGGACTAGGTCCCAGAGTATGATGCAATTAGCCATCTGAATTATATAACTAACTCTCCTTATTTTGATTCCTCTCTTTTCAAGATGCATAGCCATGAGAAGATTCTGCCTGAAAACTCTATGTACTGGTCTAGCTGTCGAGGAAGTCAGCTGAGTCCTAGCTTATCCCTTCTGTCACTTGTGAGTATCATTTTCAGAAGCCATTCTCAGCTTTATGGTACTGGGGAGACCTAGATTTAGCAATTCTCGAGACCAACATCTGGACATGGTGAAATTACCAAGTTATTGTCTTTATGTGAGGTCTCTTGGTGAGTAATCAGTCATTTGATCTTCCTAGGACTACCTTAACTTGTTCATATGCTTTTGAAAACATCCACATAAATCTTATGACATTTCATACAAATCTAGTGTGTGTGTATATGTGTGACAAGTGACACCTCAGATTGTTAAGGTTCTCCTTTCATTCACATGTGTGCCACATTTCTTAAAGGCAAGTTCCAACATTTATTTTGCCCTCTCTACTCTCAATGACATAATTTTGGCTTTCTCCCTCTCCATGATATGTGTATACTCTTCTTACCCTTTCAAAGCCTTAGTCAACCAGAAAATTTTTTACTGCATGAGCATTACTTCAAAGCTATTTTATCAATTATGTTCAAGGACATTAGTATTGATGATCTGATTTAACCTGAATATCCATTACAGCACAGGGTGAGGGGTGGGGGCAGTGTTGCAGAGGAGAACATTATTAAAACAGTCAAAACATTTGGGCATTTTTTTACAGGTGGACAGAGCATACATTAGACTATTAGTTGAGTTTTTTGTTTGATAATTTTTTTTCTATCACTTTTGGTCAGTTTCTTATGTCATACATTTTTTAGTTATTTACATTTTGATCAGTTATTCACTGGATTGTTTGTTACTGAGATACCTAGGTGGTAGAATCTAAGGAAAGATTAAAGTCTTGAAATCCCAATGGAAACTGTGTTAGTTTGGCATTTGCTTTGTATATGTGCTTTTGATGTGATCTGATTCTATGTCATAAATTCAACTATTTCTTTTATATTTATAAAACTCAAATCTATATATTTTAACATATGAAACTTGGATACAATTTTATATCATGTACATAACTCTATGTTGTAATTTTAATTTTCAGGTATAGCTCTCTTATAGATTTTTCACTTCCTAAGGACAGAAATCTCATCTTATTCATCATTGTATCCTCTATACTCAGTATACTACCTAGAAAATAAATCAACACATTTACTGCACTAGATTGATAGTTATTTCTACTACAACTCCTTTTTTGTTCTAATCAAACTGACTAATCTAGATCCATCCTTTAATTTAAAAATTGATATTCTCTCCCCTGTCCTCTTAATTCAATGAATAAAGGGCATCTTTACCACTAAGAAACTCCCACTTGGCTGGTCAGAACAGATGTAAACAAGTTCAGGATGGGGCATTGGTGAAGACACCATGATAGAGTTTGAATAGGGTCTAGTGGGTCCCTTTCCTCTTGAGGGGAAAGGCAGCTATCAATAGAAAAACCTCTCAACAGGAGGTGATACTGGACTTGAATTTGAAAACTGACATGTTTGCCTGTTGGGTAAGGTAGTTGATCATTGTGAGAAGAGTAAGCACATCATTTAGAGCATAGGTTGTTACTAACAATGTGGTGAATGATAAGTAATGATCCTCCATGCATAAGGAACAGCACAAGAAAAGCAGCTTGGTGTTTCCAAGAACTGTAATTACTCTTGGACTAATGCAAAGCACATGGGGTCAGGTTCACAAGAGATGAAGTACTGAGAGAGAGGCATAGGCCAGATTACAAAAGGCCTTGCATTTTATGGAAAACAAATTCATTTTGTCATTTGGTCTGATTCCTCCATGCCATCTTTTTTTTTTTTTAAGATTTTATTTATTCATTTGGCAGAGAGAGAGGGAGAGCCAACACAAGCAGGGGGAGGGGCAGAGGGACAGAGAGAGAAGCAGGCTCCCCACTGATCAGGAATCCCAATGCAGGCTCAATCCCAGGACCCTGGGATCATGACCTGAGCTGAAGGCAGTCGTTCAAAAGGCTGAACCACCCAGGTGCCCCCTCCACGTCATCTTTATTCTTTCCTTTTATGTCTTCTATCTTCTAGTGATTTAAATTTTTTTTTAATTTATTCATGAAATTCAGAGAGAGAGAGAGAGAGAGGCAGAGGCAGAGGGAGAGAAGCAGGCTCCCTGCCTAGCAGGGAGCCTGATGCGGGACTCGATCCCAGGCCCCTGGGATCATGACCAGAGTCGAAGGCAGACGCTTAACCATCTGAGCCACCCAGGCGCCCCTCTTCTAGTGATTTAATGAATCCTGTTTTAGCATGCTTTGTAATGTTTCTTTTCTCTATCTTACTTTTTTTGTCACTATTACTACTACCCTGGTCACTCATTCATTCTTTCCTTCAACCACTATTTTTTTTGTGTGTGTGTGCTTTTTATGCGCTAAATGCTATTCTTGGTTATAGGAAAACAATGGTGAACAAGGTGAACAAAATGGCTGCCCCCATCAAGCTTGTAGATAATTAATGCACAACTTACCTGTTAAATTTACTTTATTTTTTATAAAGATTTATTTACCCATTTTAGAGAGAGAGAGAGAGAGAGCTGAGCGAGGAGCCCATGTGGGACCTGATCCCACGACCCTGAGATCACGACTGGAGCCAAAACCAAGAGCTGGAAGCTTAACTGACTGTGCTGCCCAGGCGCCTCTATTAAATTTATTTTAAAATGTCAATAAATGATAAGACCTGTGAATAAAAGTAAAGTGTAGTAAGGGGATACTGAATTATGGAGGATACCTCACTAGATAGGATGACCAGACAGGCTTTGTTGAGGAGATGACATTTTAGTTGAGACATGGATGAATTTATGAACCAGCCATGAGGAGAAAAGACATTTCAGAAAAAGGGAGAGACACTCTGGTGGGGATGAGTGTGGCTTATTTAAGGATGAACCTGAGCATCTCCCATAATTATTAAAGTTAAATATATTACTTGTTTGGTAATAATCATGGTGGTTCTCTTTCCATGTTCAAACCCTGACAGAAACAGATATAAGTGACTAGAGCAGAGTAAGTGAGGAAGAGAGCAGTCTGTGTTCTTGTTTGTCACCCTCACACTGAGATGAAAATCCCACACTTTTCACAAGATATTCTCCTCTTACTTAGCATATACACTCAGCATTTTAAGAAATCTGAGACTAAAAGTTTGGATAAAATACAAATATCATTTTTAGCCCTACCATTTACAGAATTTGATTAATCAACATACCTTTTTTTTTTTAAAGATTTTATTTATTTATCTGACAGAGAAAGACACAGCGAGAGAGAGAACACAAGCAGGGGGAGTGGGAGAGGGAGAAGCAGGCTTCCCGCTGAGCAGGGAGCCCGATGCGGGGCTCCATCCCAGGACCCTGGGATCATGACCTGAGCCGAAGGCAGACGCTTAACGACTGAGCCACCCAGGCGCCCCTAATCAACATATCTTAGAGAACATGCCATGATATTGTCCTAACTGAAAAAGCATTTCTTTAGCTTGAATGTATCTGAAATATAGTTGGCCATTGTTAACATTATAATGTCAATATGGAAGTGGATTAAATTTCTTGAGGCATTTCTAGAAGTGAAATATTTTTATCTACTTTGAGGTAAAGCTTCATTCATTATTAGGAGAAGTAAATAAAGCCTTATAAAAACATCTTAACCCTTAAAGGGATACCTCTTTGTTGTCTTTAGAACTGCTCTTTGATTAATTTAAGAAAGACATGATATTTCACCCATGCATTGTTTTTTCACTTTGGAATCGTAATCTTATTTCTATGAACACAGCCATATATTTGGACTGACAGCTGTAAATATTTTTAAAATTCATTTTTGAGAATGGCATTTGTCATAGGTAGGACTAGTTTATTCTTAAGATTCAGTAACCTGTCTTGAAAATGATACAATATCTCTTAAGAGCTTTACCTTATCAAACATTGTTAAAATGTAAAGAAAATAAATAAAATGGAATTTGGATCCAAAGGGTGTCTCTAATAGCTTTTCCTCCTTGACATGGAGCTAATATAAACTGCATCTAAACAGCTGATTTTTATAAAACTGCAGAAACTGACAGTTATTTTCCGGTGCTACTTACCACTATTCTATCTCATTTGAATTCCAGAATCAATGGGCAATACCAATACCTATGGATTACATGTTAAAAAGGCATTTATGAATTATGGATGAACTGGGACAGTTACTGGTATTTAAAGACATCATATTTCATGTTGAATATTAATAGGAATGAAAGACCAGAGGAACATAGTTACCAAAAAAAAAATGAGTAATATTTCAAAACAGAGTAGTTTCTTTAAGCCATGTGATATAACAATAAATGTTAACAATATTATAGTTAATTCACTTAGTGACAATTTTTGTAACAACAAAGATTAGAGATGAGAACTTACCGTCAAAGGTTTTTTATTATTATTCAATTAGGACAAATCTAATTTGGACATTAAATAAAAAGTAGTTTAAAATATTGTTCTATATTGTGACAGTGTCTATTGTCTTATTGTTTGGCTTTACGTGATTGCTAAAAGGAAGACTATATGTCCACATGAAATGTAATAAAGTATAATTTAAAATTTTAATTTTAAGGGTTTAAACCACTCAAGAAAATAAGAAAATATTTTTATTCAACATTTGTGAGATGACATCATAAATTTTTACTTTTACTATCTATGTTGGTTAAGTTGGTACACAATGAAAGTAACTGGGCCTCTGCCTCTTGTGATTAGGGTCCTACTTCCCAAATTTGCATAATCCATAAAAGGAATTTATTCATTCTCTTAAACTGCAAGGAATTCGATCAAGCTTATCAACCCACTAAAAACTAGTAAACAAAATATTAACATCCAGTCATGGATTACTGTGTAATGAGAAATAAAAGAGAATGCCAAGAAGACTAGAATGTGTGTGCTGACTGAAAAGCATGTTATATTCCCAGGAGGAATGTCATTTATTATTTATTCATCAAATGTGTATTGATGTCTGATTTATACCAGACATTTTGCTAGACACTGGATGAAAAGTCAAGTAGGGCATAGTCTCTACCATCAAGACGCTTATTGACGAGTTTGAAAGACAG